CAATGGCAAATAGACAAGCTGGGGCGAGTATTATAGCACAGTGAGTTATTCCCATATGGGATCTGGTTCAAATCTCAGATGTTCCTTTATGATCCAGCTCCGTTAATGCACCTAGGAAAGCAGCAGAAGATGGCCCAAGTGCTTGGGTCCCTGCTACCCACGTGGGAGACCTGGACAAAGTTCCTGGCTCCTGGCTTTGGTCTGGCCCAGACCTGGCTGTTACAGCCATTTGGGGAGTGAACCAGCAGATGATAAGATTCTCTCTCTCTCTCTCTCTTTCTCTTTCTCTCACTCTGTAACTCTGCTTTTCAAATAAATAAATTTTTTTAAAAAATTGATGAGCTGAGGCCAGAGAGCAGGCAGTCACCAAGCCGTGTAGACCTTTCTAGGCCAGAATAAGGTCTGGATTTATTCTAGGTCACTTGGAAAATTCCTAGAAAGCTTTAGACAGGAAAGTAGTGCACTGGGATTTACATTTCAAAAAAGATAGCTGTGATCATAAGAGGCAAGAATGAAGTAAAAATATCAAAAGCAGGAGGCCAATAATATGGACTAGTTGAGAGATGCTTTATTTTATTCTCTTTTTGCCTTTCATTATCAGGCCAAAGACCCATACTGAAGCTTTTGGTTGCTTGGGGGCCTCAGAGTTGTTCTTGAACTAATCTGAGTCAGGAGAGTTATCCTGATAATCAGGATGCTGCAGGCCTGGAGCAGATAGATACAAACAGTGATTGCCTCTGAAAGTTCTTTGACTGTTAACCCTGAACTGTGTGAATGGGTTCTAAGAGTATGAGCATATGTTGAATTACTATCTTCTGGGAAGAGTTCATAGCTTCTCACCATTTTGTCAAAGGGATCTATGACCTTCAAAAGGGTTACCATTGATAAACAGTAGGTTGTACACTGTGGCAGGTGCCACAGGAGTAATAGAAAACAAGAGCATCAATGTAGCTTCTTTTTAAGAGCTCATAAGAAGAGAAGTAAAACGTGAATTAGACACCATTAAAAAGAAAAATGAATGAATCCAAGCCTGGGCAGACGAGGTCATATGATATTCAGGCAAATATTAAAAGATAAGGTAAGAAATCTGTCAGCTTCCTACTCCCACATTTTAACTTATGTCTGGAAATACCAGGTTTGCTTTATAGTCAAAATGTTCATAGAAGCCACAAGATGGCGAGGTTGCTCCTTAAAATGAATGTAAGTGGAAGCGGGGTAGAGAAACAGAGCGAAAGAGAGAGAGTTGGAGAGTGAGAGGGAGACAGAAAGACACAAGAGAGAGTTCCTCTCTGATTTTCTATCTCTTCAGTTATTCCTATATCCTTAATTGCATGTAAAATAGAACCCACATGCTTAAATTTTTCCTCTTTAATTTGGATTTTGAGTATAGTTGTTTTTAGAATTGCAAGGCTGAAAATAAAAATTATTATCTGGATTCCATTCTTACCATTTTTCAGCTCTATTAAATTATCAACAAATAATTTCATTCTTTACCTTGTCACCATAATAATTTTAGCAAAATACCATTTTGAGAATGTTGGTTTTCTTCTTGAAATCTGTTTATTTATTGACAAGAATATTTGTTAATAGTACTTAATCAGTGTTAAATAGTTACGGTAAACGATGAAGAGATGTAATAATTTTTGACTCATTTCAGAAAAATATATAAAATATATATAAAGTAATGTCAAATTCTTCACTAAAATGCACAACTGCAAGGTTTGAAGTATAAAAAATTAAATTTTTATGCATTATTAAATAATATAACTTTAGTACTTAAAATATCCATTTCCATCATTTAAAAATACCTCAAGGCAGTTTTCCTTTTGTTGTTCTTAATATTTTCTAATCAAGTTCTAATTGAATTCCCATAGAAATCTATTACATAGGGGTAGGCATATGGCCTAGTGGGTGAATCACTTGTTGCGATGCCTGTGTCCCTTATTGGATTTGGTGTGGTCGTTCTGGCTTCTGAATATACCTACCTGTTAATGCATACCCTGATAGGTAGCAGAGATGGATCAAATCCTTGGGTCCCTGACCACCCACGTGGGAGATTTAATTGGGTCCCTGATTCCTGACTTTGACTAGGCCCAGTTCTGGCCATTGCATGCATTTGCCAATTCAGATAGCAGATGAAAGGTGTTTGTCTCTCAAAAGACAAACAAAAAATCAAAGAAAATAAAAAGAAAAAAGGAATCTATTAGATAATATGAATATTGCTATTTTACAGATGAGGACATTAGGGCTCATGGAGAATAACTAACTTGTTGAAGACTCAATAGTTGGCAAAACTATAATTTGAAGCGAGATTGTTTTTCAACCCTAGAACTCATCCTCTTTCTTATTCTGCCATACTGCCTCCATTGAGAGTAACTACTTATATTTTTCTTTAATAGGATTACTTGCAAGTTTCAATTTAAAGTAATTATGGTATTTGTGTCTCCTCTTTGTTGTAAGCAGAACAAAAAGAGAATTTGTATCACAGGGCAACTATTATGGTGCAGTTTTAGTAAGCTGGTTGTTTTTTTGGGTGTGTTTTTGGCAGGACTTATGAGAAGACTCCATTTAAAGTTGTGCTGATGATGAGGAGCCTCAGTTTGCTGCATTTAAGGGATTTGTGTTCCTAGCCAGAAGCACTTGATTTTTCTGACCTAGAGTGGACTGGACCTTAGTCCTTTTCTTGATTTCCTGTTGTAAAACAAGTGATTCCTGAGCACACATATCCCTGCCTTGTAGTGACAAATGGTTTTAAAACCATTGTGCTGAAAGCTGGAAATCTATAGATTATTTGTTTCATTTTGAAAAATATAATTATTTTTGTATAGCAAGTATTCATTTGTTCTTTTGGTAAATGTTACTGAACACTGTTCTAGATGCTGGAGATACAGTAAATAACTGGAAAAAAATTCTGGACCATATATTTCAGTAGGGAGGTGACAAAACAAAATAAACAAGTTACTTATGAAGGTGTCTTCAAAAGGTTCATGAAAAATGCTCATTATGAAAAAACTGCATGGATTTCAAAGTTTATTGCACAAAACAAATTTGTCTTAATTCCATTTCCATGAGCTGCATGAAACACCATCATATGTGTGGTGATAAGGGTTATATATATAAATATAATTGAATAAAAGGGATTAAAAATGAGAAGTGTGAATGCTCTTTTATAAAATATCATCTAAGAAGGTCTCTCTCCTAAGGAGATATTTGAGTGAAGACCTGGAGGCTGTGAGGTCTGTGGATATATGGAGCCAAATGGAGGAAGATCATATGAGGTGGCAGGAGATCCAGGCCCTGGCCAGCCCTTTCCTGATTTTTCCAAAAACAGGAAATGCAGGAAATGTCAACAAATGGTGATATCAGTTTTTGATTTGGTTACTTTCTCCAGATCATGTGGGATTTGGGGACAGATTCATGCAGCTCTTGAGATAACCTTTATTAATCCACAATAAGCACCAGGAGAAAATATTTCTTGTGCTTTGTTGATTTTTGCTGATGGCAGGAAGCATGAAGAAGGAAGGAAGGAAGGAAGGATGGACTAGAGGGAAAGAGAAGGAAGGAAGGAAGGATGGACTAGAGGGAAAGAGAAGGAAGGAAGGAGAGAGAGAAATGTAAGAAGGAAGGAAAAAAGGAGATACTTTCTCTTTGTAATCTGAAAAGACATTGTTAGGAGATGTAGTGGTTTTATTTATGCCCCAATTTTTCACTATTCATTAATTTATATTTTTTTGCATACTTGAGAAAATATGTAAATAGAACTTAGGGAGACATTGTTTTACTTTATCTTGTATTCTGTTGTGTACTGGTTAAGGGTAGCAAGTGCTTATTGCAGTCTGGGAGTTAAAGTTAAATGATGAATCTGGCTGAGTAAGGAGTGGTGGAGATGTGGCAAATTATGGAATTCATGCTTTTTATATAACGAAGAGCTGTTATTGATCTGATTGTTTTGATGTGAGAATGTGGGCCTAGCTTTGGACTTACTTTCTGATTTTTTAAGGTAAGCCAGAAATTTATATTGTTTTTTTCCTGTTTTTTAAATATTGGCAACTCTAAGGCATTCTGGTCTGGCTGAAAAGCCCATGAGAGCATTTCAGGTGTGGAAAGCTGAGACACTGTGGCAAAAAAAAAAAAAAAAAAAAAAGTCCTACGTGAAAGATCTTTGTGAAAGAGACCCCAGTGGAAAGAAGTGGCTATCAAAAAGGATGTACTTTTTTTCTGAAGGGAGGAGAGAACTTTCACTTTGCTTATAGCTTTGTCTAAATACTGATGGAGATTGTGGATTCAAAAGTCTTCCATAGCCTTGGCAGCTCATGTCAATAGCCCTGGGTGATGACTGACATGCGGAATGTTAATTGTTAATTGACAACAGGAGTCGCTGTGCACTTCTCATGCAGGACTTCTGTCTTCAATGAGTTGTATTATGAAAATTAACTGTAAAACTTGTTCTCAAATGCTTTGTGTGTATGTGTGTAAATTGTTGAAATTTTTACTTAGTATAGAGTTGGTCTTCTGTGTATAAAGTTAATTGAAAATGAATCTTAATGGAGAATGGGACTAGGAATGGGAGAGGGAGGGGCTACAGGGTGGGAATGGGATTGGGAGGGTAGGTATGGTAAGAAGAATCACTATATTCCTAAAGTTGTACTTATGAAATTTGTACTCACTAAATAAAAGTTTCTTTGAAAAAACTATTGGCAATTAAACAAAATCATTCTGAAACTCTGCAGGCTAAACAAAACACTACTGAAGGTGGCATTGAGCCTACAAATCAGCAGTTTTTGACTTTCTGGAGTACACCATAGTTAATTCTTACTGTTTCCTTCAAGGGATAGTATAGATCAAATAGCAAAGCAACAACAGCAGAACAAACAAAAAACTCCCCAAGAAACAAAACAAAAAACAAAAATTACAAAAAAATGCTGTAAGATTTCTGGATACAAATGGTTTCAGTATAGCCTGCATGGTGCTGACAATGTCTACTCTTTCCCTTGTTTTAGGGTTTGGCCAGACGGGCCCAATGTCTCAACGAGCTGGTTACGATGCTGTTGCCTCTGCTGTTTCTGGTTTGATGCACATCACAGGGCCAGAGGTAGGTATTATTCTGTAGAATATTTCTATTTTTCCCCCTTTTTATATTACAGGGAGATTTCCCGTATTACTAATTCATAGGATAAATTTGAGTTAATTTTAGAAAGAAACCAGGGAAACTGATTTATTAAAGTAACATGGAAATGTTCATTACAAATGCACTCAAGATTACACATCACTGTGGTCCCACGTTGAAAACTTGAGTTATGTAATTGTTACCTGAAGCCTCAGGTGTAGTTTCTGATTTGTCATATGCATTAGATTCTGAAAGTGAAAAATATTACTTGGTTTTATGACATTCCTTTTCTATTGATGATGAATGGGGACATTTCTAAAACATACATAGATGGGCAAAACATAGTTGATTAGATCAAACAGTTGTCTCTTGAGGAAAGCTACATGATTTGAAAAAGAAAGTGAGAGTCTAGTAAAGAAAAATATTTTAAAGCAGTTTATAATAAACTGTATTGAGTGGCTTCAAAAAATCAGTTCTTGGGGCTGGCCTTATGGAGTAGTGGGTTAAGTCACTTCTTGGATTGCCTGCATCCCATATCCATGTGCCTGATTAGAATTCTGACTACTGCATACTTAACTATATTAAATTAATTAAAATCAACTCCCATGTGCTATATCTCTCACATTTATACATCTCTTCTTCCTTAATGAAGCCATTCATCTAAATAATAAATAGTCATTGCATGCATTCCTTTCTGTGTACTGGGAACTGTGATAGGCACCAAGAATTAAACATCCAACAAGATAAGTATAACCCTTGTCTTCCTGATGTTGTCGAGCGGGGAACACAAACATTAATCCAGAAAATGGCCAGCGCTGCGGCTCACTAGGCTAATCCTCCTCCTTGCGGCGCCAGCACACCGGGTTCTAGTCCTGGTCGGGGTGCCAGATTCTGTCCCAGTTGCCCCTCTTCCAGGCCAGCTCTCTGCTGCGGCCCGGGAGTGCAGTGGAGGATGGCCCAAGTGATTGGGCCCTGTACCCCATGGGAGATCAGGAGAAGCACCTGGCTCCTGCCATCGGATCAGCGCGGTGCGCTGGCCGCGGCGGCCATTGGAGGGTGAACCAACGGCAAAGGAAGACCTTTCTCTCTGTCTCTTTCTCTCACTGTCCACTCTGCCTGTCAAAAATAATAATAATAATAATAATCCAGAAAATATTCCTTATATACAAGTAAAAAAATCTTTGAAGGAGAGTGCAGAATGCTATTAACATATGTAACAGTGTGTCTTAGACAGGTGCTATCCTGGAGATTTTCACAAAATGTGACTTGACAGCAAAGCACAAAAGCAAATTGGAAGGAATCAGGCCATGCTGGGAGTCCCACTTAAGAAAGTCGTTTTATCTTACTAGCAACACGTTATAATTCCATAAGCCTGTCAGCCAAAGTTGCAAGGAGAGATCACTTCTGAGGGCCCTGGCTCATGTGCTTAACTGGCCAATGCAAGTGTACTTTTGCCAGTTATATCATGTTATATTTGGACTTTTATCACACATTTGTGGGTGAGTGTCTGTGTTGTGGCATAACTCCAGGTTGTCATTTGACTGATTGGACCTTCGTTTCTCTATTACCACCCTACACAGTGGAGACTAATGCCAATATGTCAGTTAGGGAAGGCTTCTCTGAGGCCCAGATACTCAAGGTGGAACCCAAATAGGCATCTACCTGGTGATCAGAGAACAATACTGTGCATGAGTGTAGGAGCTGGCAGGTGTGAGAAAGTGAAAGTAGTCAAGTGTCATGTGAGTATTGTGAACTGGCAAAGAAGCAGGAAAAATGAGGCTGGAGAGGTAGGGACTAGTGGCAAAACTTACTGTTTGTGGACTTAATATAATACTTAATAGTTTTATGAGATAAGAAGGTAGATATTTCATATAATTTTAAGCATATGATCTATAAATTTCTTCCTGGAAATTGAGTGTTGTTCCAAAGATGTAGACTAGAAATATGAAAAGTCTAAAAATACATGCTTTTCTATAATAGTTTAATAATGCCATTTTTATCCAATAGGGAGCACACATAAATATTTAAACTAGGATAAAATCTTTGAAATCCAAAGCAAACTATTTAGCATTGACAGTTTATCTTTGGATAAATTCTAGCCTTTTAGGTATACTGTGGTATTGTCAGACAAGATTACTTTTTAATTATGGAGGAAAAAAATAACCAATTTTGAGTATCTATACTGTATTGGATCCATGCTAGATATCTTACATATATTATAATCTTTTTTGGTCTTCATATTGATCCTTCCAGGTAGATATTGCTGTATTCCGGAACTGAAGCTTAGAGACTTAAATAACTCGTCCAACCTTCTCGGGTATATAGAATGCTAAAGCCAGACTTTGAATACAAGTCTGCTTTTCTCCTGTAGTTTATACTTAAAAATTATTTATTTATATTTTAATTGGCAGACATATAATAATTGTGCATGTTTATGGGGCACAGTGTGGTATTTCAATACATGTTTGCAGAGTGTATTGATCAGATCTGGGTAATTAGCATATCTGATACTTTGACATATATCATCTCTTCATGTTGGAAATATTCAAAATCCTTTCTAGCTATTTCAAAATATTCAAATAGTTGTTGTCAAACGGAGGCAACCAACCTACTATGCTGTAGAACACAAGAAGTTATTCCTCCTATCCAACTGTACCTCTGTACCTGTCTCTATCAACCCCACTTCCTACCCTTCCCAGGCTGTGGTAACCATAATTCCATTTTCTATTACTGTGAAATCAACTTTTTAGCTTCAACACATAAGTGAGAACAAGCAATATTTATCTCTCTGTTAATGACTTATTTCATTTTACATAATGTCCTCTAGGCTTTTCTGTATTGTCACAAATGACATAATTTCATCCATTTTTATGACTGAACAATACTTCATAGTGCATATATACAACACATTTTATTTATCCATTCATCTTTCAATGGGCACTTCATTGGTTGAGTCCATATCTGGCAGTTGTGAATAGTGTTGCAATACAGTCAGTGTAGGAAGCTCTTAGGCATATTAATTTCATTTCTTTTGGATATATGTGTAGTAGTGGAATTCCTGTATCATATGATAGTTCTATTTTTTAGGTTTTTGAGGATCTCCATGCTACTTTTTTTTTTTGACAAGCAGAGTTAGAGAGAGAGAGAGACAGAGAGAAAGGTCTTCCCTTTTCTGTTGGTTCACCCCCACAAGTGGCTGCTATGGCCGGCACGTGGCTGGTGGACTGCGCCGATCTGGAGCCAGGAGCCAAGTGCTTCCTCTTGGTCTCCTATGTGGGTGCAGGGCCCAAGGACCTGGGCCATCCTCCTCTGCACTCCCGGGCCACAGCAGAGAGCTAGACTGGAAGAGGAGCAACTGGGACAGAATCTGGTGCCCCAACCGGGACTAGAACCTGGGGTGCCAGCACTGCAGGTGGAGGATTAACCAAGTGAGCCATGGCGCCAGCCCCTCCATGCTACTTTCTATAATGGATGTGCTATTTTATGTTTTTTTTTTTTTTTCCTTTTTTTATTTTTTGACAGGCAGAGTGGACAGTGAGAGAGAGAGAGAGAGACAGAGAGAAAGGTCTTCCTTTTGACATTGGTTCACCCTCCAATGGCCACCGCAGCCGGCGCGCTGCGGCCGGCACACCGCGCTGATCCGTAGCCAGGAGCCAGGTACTTATCCTGGTCTCCCATGGGGTGCAGGGCCCAAGCACTTGGGCCATCCTCCACTGCACTCCCTGGCCACAGCAGAGAGCTGGCCTGGAAGAGGGGCAACCAGGACAGAATCCGGCGCCCCAACCGGGACTAGAACCTGGTGTGCTGGCGCCGCAAGGCGGAGGATTAGCCTAGTGAGCCAAGGCACCGGCCGCTATTTTATGTTCTTACCAACAGTGTATGCAAGTTCTTTCTCTCTGCATCTTGCTGGCATTTATTTTATGTCATTTTGATGATGATCATTTTAACTTCGGTGAGATAAAATCTCACTGTAGTTTTGATTTGCATTTCCTTGATGATTAACAATTTTGAAAATTTTTATATGCTTGTTAGGCATTTTTGTATCTTTTAAAAAATGTTCTATTCCTATGATTTTCCCATTTTTAGTTGGATTATCTTCTTTTCTGTTGAGTTCCTTATGTATTCTGGATATTAATCCTTTGTCAGATGAATAGTTTGCAGGCATTTTTTCCCCATTCTATAGGTTTTCTCTTAGTTCTGTTGATTACTTCATTTGCTATGCAGAAGTTTTAGTTTGTAATAAACCTATCTGTCTATTTTTTATTTTGTTACCTGTGCTTTTGGGATAAAATCTAAAAAAATTAACCTAGACCAATGTTTTGAAGTGTTTTCCTAATGTTTTTTTTTCTAGTAGTTCAATAGTTTTTAGAAGTTACATTTAAATTTTTATCCATTTTGAGTTGATTTTCACATATATATTCTAAAATGATCCCCAGTAGGATATAAATCTCAAAAGAAATCTCTGGTCGCTTTTTATCACAGCCATATCTCTATACAGAGATTGTACATTAGTAAGCACCCAATAAATGTATATTTAATGAATAAATGAGTACCTGACACTGTGCTATGTGATCTTAGACATCCCACATAGCTTTCTGAGCTTCGGTGGAGTTCATTTGTAGTGGAGCTCATGTACCTTCTTTGTAAAATATTGTAAAGAACAAATAAAATATGTCTTATAAAATGTATAATGTAAGGTACTACAATAAGAATGACAAATTTCTTAGCGTATCTGCATATTCCTAGATCTACCCTCAGAGATTGGTTAGACCTCACAAATATTTGTGTTTAAAGATAGGCTGGGGTGCTTCTGGGCAGTTTGTATATCATACTTGGAAAAAAGCTATTTTTTTAGAAAACTTTTATAGGCCGGCGCCACGGCTCACTAGGCTAATCCTCCACCTTGCAGCTCTGGCACACGGGGTTCTAGTCCCGGTTGGGGCGCCGGATTCTGTCCTGGTTGCCCCTCTTCCAGGCCAGCTCTC